TCTCTCTCTCTCTCTCTCTCTCTCTCTCTCTCTCTCTCTCTCTCTCTCTCTTCGCATGGCTTCTCGATAAATTTAGCCGGGTATCCATTGGCTTTCAGATCGCTGACAACGCGTTGCTCGTCACTGCTTCCATGCTTGGTGCTCAATGGCAGGCTCCTGGCTGGGTCCATGAGATCAGAGTTTTCACAACTGCTCTGTTGCTGTGTGCTGGAATATGCGAGTCAAATGATGGGTTCGTTTGCGTGGCCTTACGGTATACACTCACTTCCACTCAGTCATCTGGGAGAAGTGTGGTATTAGTGTCCAGGAAAGCAATTGTTGGGTGACATGTGGACGTTGACGACGTCTCTAAGGTTAACTGAATGCGGGGGTTTATAGAGTTGAGGTGCGTATGGAAGGGTTCTACGTCGTCCTTCTTTAGACAGGCGTTGGAGTCGTCGACGTACCGTTGCCACAATCTCGGCTTGATTGGTGCGAGGCTAGGGCTTCTTCCTCCACTTGCTCCATTTGTTAACTCTGCGATGACAGCTCTAAGGGGTGAGCCCATAGCGCATCCAAACACTTGATGATATTGCATTCCTTCAAATGTGCAAAAAGCTGTTTTTTAACTCGAGGGAGAACAATGCAAAAGAAGGCTCTGATCCTGTCTCAGGTTTGTATGCGTTTTCCAATCAATAGTTTCTTGGGGTTTCCGTTTTACGATACCTATAGTGAGGTCAACTGTTATCGAATTGAACAGGGAAACCACATCGAAGGATACTATCAGCTCATCATTGGTTACTCTTTGACTGCTCATGAAATTAGCGAATTCATTGACGTTCTTGACGGAATAACCGTTTTTGCTCTAGAGATGTTGCAGGATGGAGGCCAAATGCCTAGAGAGAGTTGGAGCACCATTAATGCAACTGCTGATCGGACGCAGTTGAAAATTTACGCATCTTGGAAGGGTGAAATGGTTTTCCCGTTACTGCAGTTGTATCTTACGGATCTTTGGTAAGCCATAGAAGGATTCTAGAGTGAAAACTTCCAGTACTTCGCTTCAGTTAGATCCCCTGCCTTTTTGAGATACAAGAGGCGTGGAGGCCCTACATGAAGTAAGACGATTGGAAAAGAACTTAACAACACAGGTGCCATGCAAACTATATCTGCGTTATCCACACCAAAGCAAAGAGAGCGGTATTTTACCACAATTCACGCTGTCCCGACTGCCAATCGACAACCCCAAGGCTTGGGACGGTACACATAAGACGGGCTAGAAATGCTTACGCTTTCTCATAAAGGAATTTCACCGTAAACTACAGATTCTCGATTAAGACAAAGACGCGTTAAAATCAAAAATCGAAAGCAGAACCTCAAGATAGCGCTGCGGAGGGTTAAATTAGGTACCGACAGAAATGTGCGAGTCTAAAAACTTAAGTTGAGAAAAGAAATCTAAGAAAGTTGAAGGAAACCTCGACGCGAGGCGAAGAGGATATTAAGAGAAGATGGGTTGTTAGCATCTCCGAATAGGAACTGGAACTTCGCATTTACACCATGGCATATACCGACTAAAGAAATCCTCGCTTCAGTTGAATCTGCAATGCATCGTCTGCCACACGAACGTCAAGACATCATGAAAAGCGAAGTTCACAGCACTCTAAGGCAAGGCAAATCCCCCAAAAGGAGCGGAATCTTACAAGAGAAGAGTAAAAAGCCTTCAGAAAACTAAAGAGCGATGAGAGCATCGCAAGCGTAAAAGCTTACAAAGAAAACTGCGCAGTTGTGCTGAACAAAAAAACATTATAGCAGCAGGTTTCGTGAAATGCTCCAGGATAAGAAAACCTAAGAGCCAGTCACAGACAAAAGACAGAATCCGACAGCTTAGGTAGAACAAGACCTTCAGAACAAACTCTTGTATCTCAAAAGACGAGGGGATCTAACTGAAGCAGAGTACTGAAATCAAGATTCCATCCCAGCATCGTTCTATGGCTTACCAAACATCCATTTAGATACAGCTGTAGCAACAGGAAAACCATTTCACCCTTTCAGGAGGCGAAAACGTTCAAGTGCCTCTGCGCCCCAGCAACAGTTGCATCGTGCCCCAACTTATCGTTTCTCTAAGCATTTGGTCTCCATCCAGAAACATCTTCAGAGCAAAAACGATTATTCCGTCAAAACGCAAAGGAATTCGCAATGATGAGCTGATAGCATCCTTCGAAGGGGTTTCCTGCTTCGATACCAGTCGACCTCACTATAGGTATCGT